GAATTTAGAAAGCATATACATTGAATTTTAAAAGCCAATGTCTTTCTGAATAAGTCAATTTATCAGAAAAACTACAGGCCAGTATGCTATGGGAAGAAATGCTATGGGAAGCTTACCCCACGTGAAATTGCCATCATTCTGGGGCATGTACGATTAATTTGTGCAATTTTATGGTATCTTCATAACAGCAGAGGTGAAAAATAATTCGCTGAGTAATATTGAAAAATATATACATCTGCATTCGCATTTAAAGGGGGAACCGTATAGACTTCTGAGCGCCCTATTATGGCAGGAGACAACTTTGACTAAGCTTGGGAATTATTAGTCGATATGTATTCAAATAAAACCAAGATAATAGACCCCCATATCAAGGTTTTGCTCAATTTTGTGCAAATAAAAAGGAGTTCATCTCTTCAGTTCATTTATCAAATTTCCATAAATTGGTGTGGACTGAAATCGATGTTGCTAGATGTAGATCTGAGTGAAATAATCTTGCAATATTTAATACTCTCTACACAAGATTTCAAAACTAGAGATTCGTGGTACCTTAGCAATGATTCGGCAAAAAGAGTGTCAGGATTACAAGAATTATTAGATTTCTTTAACTGTAGAGCATTGGAATTCAATGACATTTCTCGAAAAACATAATCAAATTCTGTTGCAGTAAGAAAATATCATCAGACAGCATCTTCCCCCGGGGCTTTTGCTGTAAATGTATACGATTCCATTCAGTGCAATCTGTGTCCAGAAAAACACCCGTTCAAGAGCGTGCAATTTCAGCAATGGGCAGTACAAGAAAGATTACAGGTGTGTCGTAAAATTACGTTTGTGTATTAGTTGACTCTTCAAAGCAGTCACAGACTACCCCGTGGCAAAAAAAAGTGCTGGATATGTAATCGGAAACATCATTCTCTCTTGCATGACCCATAAATAGGAAACAGGCCTCAGTTAATAAGTCAGTGAACTCAAACATAACCTCGAAATCGAATGTGGGAGCTCATGTTAATGTACAATCAAAATCTTCCCCAGATGGAGGAAAATGTTCTATGGTGTACATGGCAGCACAAGACTGAGAAAATTCTCTCTCATATGGCCTTGAGACAAAGAAATTTCTGGCTTTGTTGCCCACGGCTAGAATTTTAGTTTCTGATAAAATGGGTAGTAATGATGTACTAGTCAGAGCGTTGCTGGATTCGGGTAGTGAAATTTGTTTTATAACGGAAGCCCTCGTCCAATTATTAAATATTTGAAGAACAAGGTATAACTATTTGATACATCCAGTTAATTACCAAAAAAAGATTCAAATGGGAAAGTGAATGTAACTATCAAATGTCGTTTCAATCATTGGCAAACTGGGGTGCAATGTTTAATACTACCGTCTATTTCATCAAAATTGCCTCAAACCTCCCTTATTTGTCAAAGTTAAAAATTACAACTCATCTCAAACACGCAGATAACACGATCCATTTGTCAAAAAATTGACATGTTATTAAACACTTCAGTGTTCTTTGATTTCATAGGTCATAGCAGGGACAGTTGATACCAGTGAATGCAAGCAAGAGAGTATGGCCAAATTGTCTTCCTCCTAGAGGAACAGGATGAACTAACGAGTAGTAAAGAATTCAATGTGCAAAGAATCTGGAACGGGATTGATAGATACTAGTCGCTACCTACTTTAACTTCTAAAGACTCAATTCACCCTGCTGAAGCTCATTTTCTTGCCGCAACGCGAAGGCTACCTAGTGATCACTTTTCCGTATCGTCATTTGATACAGATCCCTCGGTACCGGAGAGATCATTCTACACATCGCGAAGCAATTTTTGTTGTCTTTAGAACACCGCGTCGGTGAAAACCATTTCTGGGCACAGTTTTAAACAATATACTCTGGGCTGGCCCAATCATTCAGCGAGAATTAATTGATATACTCTTAAGATTTAGAATTTATAATTGCGCCTTTGCTGCTGACAGAGAGAAAAAGTATAGCATGGTTCAATTGATTGAAGAACACACTAATTATCAAAGATGACTTTGGAGAGAGCTTCAGCTCCCCTAAAACCAATAAATTAAAGACTGTCACTAATGGACTTGCGCCTCCTGCGTTTTCAGCAACACGATGTTTAAAACAAATTGGTATTAATAATGAAGCTGCCTTTCCAGAAGCATTCCTTGCCATTATCAATTCTTTCTATGTAGATGACTTATTGCATTGAGCAAAATCTGAACCTAACGCAATTCCGTTATTTAAACAAATATCAGATCTGATTTTAGAAGCTCATTTTAAATTGAGAAAGATTAGAAGCAATGCTGATTCTGTGATAACTACTTTGCTAGGAGAATCCCCTGGGTAGGACCATTCATGACACTTTGCATCTAGCTCACAATGTTCTTGCCGGTTTCGGCGGTTGGACCGAGAGAAAGATGTAACATATAAGAGCATCAATATATGACCCTCCGGGTCTAGTCACACCTATGACAATTAGATTGAAAATATTTTTTCAGTTGTTATGGGTAAGCTGGACTGGAATGCCAGTCTACGTCGAGACTTGGTTACTTAGTGGGAAATCTCACTGGCAGAGGCACCTGATTAACAAGGTTGATTTTTCCAAGGAAGGTGACATGAAGTGGGGCGAGCAGTGTAACTCTAACAGGTTTTGCTGATGCATCCCTTAAATCATATGGCTGTTGTGTGTATGTGGTCAGTCAAAATTCTGATGAAGAACGTGCAAGTGCTCTAATAGCATTGCAATTAGAGCTTGCGCCTTTGGCTGGCCCCACTGTCCCTCGTCTTGAATTGTGTGAAACAATTTTACTATTCTAATTCATGATGAAGATTTATAATGATGTGTAGTTTGTAAAGTCAACTCTGTACATTTACTTACACACAGCACTATAGTATTGCATTGGATACATGGTCCTAATAAATCTGATGCTTTCATTTCTAAGAGATCTGCTGTAATTAGACAGTGTTCGCAGGTGGAAGATTTGTTTCATATCTCTTCTAAAGATAACCCTGTTGATCTCATATCGCGGGGAGTCCCTGCCGTAAGTCTGTCTTCTGACGACAGATGGTTTTATGGTTTAGAATGGATGATCTAACCGTTATATCAATGGAATATTCTGACTGAGGCCTCTGAAAGTGGTAAGTATGATTACTACTTCATTAACAAACTTTTCTTACTGCCCCTTGTGCTGAGGAGGAATCTATTGTATCATAACTTATCAAAAAGTTCAGTTCGTATCATAAGTTGCTACGTATTTCCTTCAATTTTGTCTTCAATTAATCTCTCAGCGTAGAAACAGGACCTTATTACTCCCTAGGAAAACTGGCCTTCTCTCTACAACTGAGCTACGAGATGCCCTTCTATTGATTGTGAAAGCAGTTCGGAAATAATTCATTTCTCCTGAATATGCTGCCCTATCCAATAATAAGGGCATTGCAAAAAATTCAAAAATTTTAAATCTTCATCCTTTTCTAGACAAGGATGGTATCATTAGAGTAGGTGGTAGATTGATGCCCCAAGAGGAAAAACACCAAATTATTATTTGTCGCGAACATGCTTTTACAAGAGCCCCTATTACTATGATTCACCTAACTGACTTGCATGCGGGATGTCAATTAACAGTGTCAATTGCTAGACAAAAATTTTGAATTTCTTCAATTTGAAGAATAGTAAATAATGTGCTTAATTATTGCTTCCCTTGCATTCGATGGCGGGCAAAGCCAGCCTTCCAAATAATGGGTGATCTTCCTACTTCGAGTACTTGGAGGTGAAAACCATGTAAGATTACCTCAATGGACTACTGTGGACCATTTCTTACAAAACCAGTCATTGTAGGTGCAGGGCATGTTGTAAATCATGGGTCGTGGTATCCGTCCGTCAAGCTCCAAAGGAGGCCATTTAGACATGGGGTGAATCTGACCACAAACGAATTTATAGCGGCTCTGAGTCCTGCAAGAGCTACCCCAGAATTATTTACAACGACAATGCTAAACTATTTGTGAAATCAAAATCTCAGCTGTATGAGCTACCAAAGATTTCTAGCAGTCAGAAGGAACTCGATTCTCAAAAACGCTCTCTTGAACAAAATTGTATTTCACCTAATGAATTTCATACTGTGTTGACGCAGATTGAACACATATTAAAGTCATTGTTCAAAAAATCAGGGATTTTAAAGAAAAAAGACTTATTTATTTTAGAAAAAGCACCACAATCTTAAAAGCACCCGACAATAAAGTTTAATCAAAAAATTGGGACCTATATTTTTTATTTTGAAAATCTCCCAGGGGCTTCCTGTTCAAAAACTGAAATATCGTTTTCAAAATCAAGGTGCCGCGACATCATCCAGATCGATTGGGGAATATCAATTTTGGAGAAAATTGGTCGAACGGTTTTAGACGCTAGCGTTGACCGAAAGGAGAGGACGGTAGGATACAGGTGTTTTTTCATCAATCAACTTTTCTGCATCAAGGACTCACAAAAGTCATTTACTATATGCTTTTACTACATGCTTTTCCACCTTTTTGATACCGGGTCCGGCAATAAAAGTTTTCTTGTCGACAATTCGCCATTTCGCCCCCAGCATTACAATACTTTCTCTATTCTGCGTATGCAGTAGTGAGAAAGTAAAAATGCGTCTTTTGAGTCATTCAACCGAATGTGTTTTTAATGGTATTTAATGGCTTAACTGTGTAATTACCTAATATCAGGGAACTTCTCTTTGAAAAGCTATTGTCCTTAATCTTGTTTTGATCCATTTGATCTTGTCACGTTCGCAATGAAGTATAATTGGAAGCCCATTGTACTTATAATTCTTTAGATGTAAAAGTAAGACATTTATAAGATTATTGAAAGTGAACGTATGGTTACTGCAGGTTTAATCATTGTTTACAATAATGTTCTGCTTCTATAAACCCCAAGTACAAAAGAAGGGACGAAAGATAGTGAGTAAGAATGAACACAGTCTCGCGGCAGTAATTAGAGAAAGTTCAGAAACTTACTATGGAATGAAGACTCTGATCCTAATTGTGATCTCATTTCAGTAATATAAACATCAATGAAATCTCTTGGATGATTTTCATCTATAGTTTTTTCATGTTCCTTTACAACCTCCTAAAAAATCAAAGAAATTTTAACATATCAGAATAATTCTACGAAATAAAAAAATTAAAAGAGAAACATGAATAAAACTACAAAAATAGTATACTAAATGCAAATATGGAAAATATAAATATTTGTTTTAATATGTACAAATAAAATGTACTCATGTTCCTTTATTATGAAATGTTAAATACAAATGAGCTACCGTGCAAATGCATTTATGAAACAAATACTTACAGCAAAATATGAATTTAATTGTTTTGATGCAACTTTTATTTCATTGTTCCAATTTGGAACGATATATTTAAGGAAAGGGAAAAGCATTCCTAAATTTCCCCCAGTCGGATTTCCCGACCGAAAGAATGCAGCCAGAAGGGACATTAACTTCTTGAGTTGAAGATCTGAGTGATTAAATCTACTTCCAGCCACTAAACACCAAAGCACATTTATGGTTGATAGGTTAAAAAGTCCACTAACCTGTAAAACAAAGTTTAAGTTTATATTTTCAGGAAACATACAAAAATATTTATTTGCGATTACCAAATGAGCTGATGTTACAAAGTTGTAAAATTTAATAAAAAAGATAATGAAACAGTTTACTGAGAAAAAAATGAAATATTACTTTTTTCAGTTTCGTATCATTATATTAATATATCATAAATATTAGAATACTATTGGCATGTTTTTACTTTTTCGCAACCGGTGTAGAGAATGTTATATGATGCTGCGTGAAAAACGGCGAATTTTCGGAAGAAAACTCTTGTTACGAGTCCCTGGAAACGAAAAAGTGTATAAACCCAGTGGATAAATATAGGAGAAAATCTTGTAACACATACTGTAGCAAGAATCCACGTTTCGAGGGTCCTTCAAACCGAAAAATCGATTGACGGCAAAACGTCTTTGAACATCGCTAGCGCCTAAACCGTGCAGCCGATTTTCTCCGAAATTGATATTCCAAATGCATCTGGCTGATGGCGTGGCTCCTTGAATTTGAAATAGATTTTTAATTTTAGGGAGTACTTTACATGAAACCTCTAGGAAAGTTTCAAAATTTTCAAAAAAATGGAGCCATCGATTTTGATTAAATTTTGTTGTTTGATAGTCTGAAGGACGTCTACGAAAATGATGACGATTTCATGTTGAAGGATAATTCTGATTTTTCAAAAATTCAACAAATTCAAAATTTGTGCAACTTCATCGTACAACTACAATTATGATTATATTTTTTTCTTACTGAAATATGTTCATCAAAATCAGATTTTCATGTTCGATTTTTCAAAACAAGTAGTATTTTTTCGAAATTTTGTGGCAAACATAGGCAATTTTTATTTTCCAGTTTTTCTTAGAACAGCAAAACATTTGTTGATTGAATTGGCACTTTAGACAGCATAAAGAACGCTCAAGAGAATGGTGCAGGTCTCATGTTGGTTAAAATGCCTGATTTTATGAAAATTTTTAAAAAAAATGTCGGCGTTTTCCTACAACTACAATTGTGAAGACACATTTTCTTCTTAAGAAAATGTGTTCATAAAAAACGTATCATTGAATAAGGTCATGTTGAATTTTTCGAAAATATGAGTATTTTTGTGTAATGTGACTACAAACCTACCCGCTCCAAATTTACTGCGCTTCGTAAACATAAGTTCAGAAGTGTTTGAAAGCTATTGCTATTCTTATAAAAGAAAGTAGATTAATGGATGGTAATAAATTAAACTTAGGGCTTCTTTAATTCAAGAAATATTTGATTTCCTTAAAGTTAGAAATGAGTACCTTTCCTGGCTATCGAAATAAATGCAGGTATCTACCATAAGCACTTTCTTTTAATTGGTTGGGTTTGGATCATATTAGCAATATGTCTAATACTTTACATGAAATATCAAAATTGGAAAAAATGTATACCATAAATTTTTACGAACATTTTATTTTTATATTTCTCCAAGCGGTGCTTTAGTAAACAATACAGCGATGTGTATTTCAGAAGTTCATTGTTGAACAACAAAAATATAATGTAACGTTACTCCGTGGTGAATTAAAACCAACTCAATATTTAAACAATTACGTTTATTCGGGAACAATTATACACTAAAATCTACTTGGTCTATTTACAGATATATTACAATTAATTATTTTTCTTTTACACACGATTACGTTATCTTGATGATTTATTTACACAGTTCACTCCTTACACACTATTTATTTACACAGTTCTCTTCTTCTATAGTATCAGCCAGTCCAATGCACTGTCCACGGTCCACTGCACTTGACCCAAATTCCCTGCACAGACCACAATTCCCCTGCGCAGACCACAATTCATTGCGCAGACCACACTTCACTGCGCACACCAGGGTCCACTGCACTGCTGTTTACCGCGATGCACCACTTCACAGCTCAGCTTCCACTGCAGACTTCACACTGCTGACTGCTGTTTCCCCACTGCACCACTGCTTACCGCGATGCACCCTTCACAGCTCAGCTTCCACTGCAGACTTCAGACTGCTGACTGCTGTTCAACCGCTGCACCACTCTTCACCGCAATGCACATTTCACAGCACAGCTTCCACTTCGGACACACTGACGGACTGACTGCTTCTCTGCCACTCACTGACGCCTTACTACCCACTGACTTCTACTCACGTCTTCTACTAACTTCTTCTACTAACTGACTTGCGGCCGCCGGCAGCGGCGCATTTATACCTGCCCGGCGCTTGTCTCCAGGCACCCGGCATGTTCTCGGCGTTTCCCCGCGGCTCGCGGATAGTCCAGAACCGTCTAGTTCGGGGGGGGGGGCGTCGGCAGATGACGCAATCCTCGCGCAGCGAATTCCGGCATGTGATGCAATATTCGTAACAATAAGCTAATGTGACATTCTGTTAAACTCTTCTCTTTGTTGAACATAAACATGCAACCGTTGTGAGGCTTTGTTTTATTTTTTTAACTTTTATTTTAACAAAAAAGTCAAAAACAAAAACTGAATGTGACGTATAATGGGAAGAAATGTGAACGTTTTCGTAAATTCTGGTATCCCTTACCCTCCATAACCCCTTCTACATGTTAAATTCCGAATGCGTAGTAGTAATGCAGCATTAGGAAGTACAATTTGAGGAAATTTTCTCAGGTGTGAAAACATATGGAGTATTTAACATTGATTGTTCGGACAAGGATTAACGTGTAATTCGTGTTAAAAGGAGCACATTTGGAGAATATTACAATACTATTACGTTTAATAGTTGCTATTATATATTTTTCGATTTAATTATATTTATTTGTCAACGCTATCGGTGTTGTATTATTTATTAACTTTGAATTTTTTATTTTCCCGCATACTGCTTACGCAGAATAAGGCAAACAACTCTTCGGTTGTATTTGTGAATTCACTATACAACGAATTCAGTGCCAGAAATATATTTTCATTTAAATGTTGAAAATAAAAAAATCTATTGCTTGAAACTAGTTAATTTGCACCCCAAATGTTTTACGATTTCAAATAAGTTTTACAAAAAATGAAGACTGAGATGTGTTAATTTGAAGAGAAATTGGAGTGAAAAAGAGTATTACATAACCATTACTGTAGTCGAGAAAGTACGTGCTGTTTTGGCACCACTAGTTCCTTAAGGTAGAGTATTTTTTCATTACATACTGTGTGAGAGTAAAACTGTTTTCTTTACAGTAGTTTTGAAAATATGAAATGAAAATCTTTCATGGCTGAATATCATGAAATGAAATAGACTGAAAAAATTTAGAACATAAAATTTAAGATAAAGTGGTCCTTCTATTTGCGCGTGCTAGAGGGACGAGTGTAGTCGTGGTTCCCTGAAAATTATGAAAAGAGCCTCGCAGATCTACCTAATAAAATATTTTATTTCCATAAATATGATTTTATATTTTCCTCCCCTTTTTAAGCCGACAATTTGGGGAAATTATAAATGATACTTGGGAAAGAGGCTCTCGGAACTATCTGGTAACCCTGTAAATGGTACATCAAACCAAATGCTATTATTTCTTTCTCCTGTACTATATTATTTAATCACTAGTAAAATAAGTAATTTGTAAACTAAAAAAGTTTAATGGAAAAGTATATGAAGTCGTAAAACATTTTTTATAAAATATTATTACAATATTATATTTTAAATTATTTTTTTATTATATATTTCATAACATTGACAATAATTAAAACTGTGCAAATAGCCAGTGTCATAAAATAAGATACAGAGTTTTCAAATTATGGTACATCTAAAGCTACAAACTAGAATGTCCTTAGTTAGATGGTATGCATTAAAAACTTACCTGTACTTTCTTGTCTTTTATTTCTTGAAGAAGATCTTCAATTTCTTCAAGTATAACGTTCTCCATACTAGCTTTTCCAAAGCCCAAGTCTTTCAAATGTCGAAATGCAAATCGACGTTGCTCTTGCCATCCGGGCCCATCAGAGAATATGATACCTTCAGAATTACAATTCAAGCAATAATTTTAATTTCAAAGTAATTTTCACAATTATCAAGCTATTACACATATTTGTAATTAATTTATCTAAATTTCTCAACTTTATAGTCTTAGATTAGTATTTAAAATGAAGGAAATATATTTATTTAAAATTATAAATTTAAGCTTTTAATTAAAATAAATTAAGGATATAATACAGAGAATCCTCTCGATAGGAAACCCTTTAAAGCTAAATGCACCGAAAAATATTTGTAGGAAAATTCAATAGATCGTTGCACTATCACAAGGGAATTTACTTTACTGATAACGTCTGACCAGTGGTCCGATTTTCGAACTGTAAACTGCATTTGACGCCTTTTTAAAATATAATTTACGCTAAAATTCAATTTTAAAATTAGTTTTTAAACTTCCGAGAAAAAATTTAAAAATGCGGGCTTATAGTGCATTGGCGACAAGCTTCCTAAATCCAACGCCGTGACAATCATGCAAATTTGGACGAATAGGAGCGTCGTAAAATGACATTTAGAAAAACACATCGCCCCCCTTCTCCTGCGCCGTTGCGTCACCCACCCGATTGTTGTGGGCCCTCTGTCGGCGCGGCGGCACGGCCAAGCCAGGTGGCGTGCGGCCAGCTCCAGAGGAACAGGCGGGACTTGCGGGAAACGTAACCCAGAGAGTCGGTTTATGCTTTCGTCACTTTACATCTCAATCTATTCTTCCACAGATACCAAACTAGAGATGCTATACTACTATTACAGATCGATGTAAAGAAAGTAATATGTACTAACAGTACATAACTATCTTTTTCACATATTTCCGTCTTCCTTCGAATACGATTTTAAAATTGTTTGAGTCATTACTCAAAATATCGATTCCGGCTTGGAACTGTTTTTTTTAAAAAAGGAACTAATTCTGTAATAATCACCATTATTCCATCTCCTCACATCTTATTTTACCCTGCTCTAAGATCTTCCGTTGTCAAATACCGGAAAGAATAAGCGGAATATACGCACGAGCTCTTTTATCCTACAACTCGATTTTTGATCTCAAAACAACATTTATCTGCTTTAAAGAGTGATTCTGGTGAATTCTTTTTCTCAAGTAAAATAGCCGAAGCTAATTTTAAAAATGTTTTCGTACTTTAGGACAATTTTAAAAAAGTGCTTGTTCTTGGCTGACCGAGTGACGTCGCATCGAAGGCTGTGTAGCCGACGTTTCGACCATTTTGTCGTGGCCTTCCTCAGGGCTGGTATGCCCATACTTACAGGACTGGTATGGCCATGGCAAGGGACAGCGAAGATCATGCACATGATTATGACTGCGAAAGCCTACAAATTTAAAAAAAGGTGGTAAAATAGCGGGCTTGCGAGGTGCATCCTGACTCCAACGCCGTTACAAGCATCGAAAAAAGATATTATAAATCATGACTTATCCCAACTCACTTGGTAAGTTATTTTGATATAAAAAATATGTTATATTTGTATAATTTTGAAGGAAATAAATAATTCCTGGTGCGTCATTTCGTACAGACTACGTAAATGAATAAAGGGTAATGATGTATTTGGATAACTCCTTGATGTTTGCTTGCATTTGAAGCGTGTTTTCTCTTCCATTTCCTTTGTTTTATAAAAAGTGGATTTTCTAGAAAAAGTTATCTGTAGAAATTGCAGTATGCAAAACCAGTTGGACGTGACTCTTTCGTGACGTATCAGCGACAATGATATAAGTAATATAGAACATTCAAATCTTTAAAAACGAAGGAAATCTTTTTCTGTATGATCTTGAATTGAATTGAAGCCTTATTTTACGTGGCGAGACTGTCTGCGTGCCGCGGATTCTTTTAGACGCCAGTGTTGCCTGACGCCCAGGGGGTCGTAGCCGAGCTCTCGCTGATCTTGCGCCACTTCTCGAGAGTCCCATGATTGCCACTCGGAGGGTCTTTTCATGCCCTTCACGCCGTGGTGGATGCGAGAAGAGAAATATGTTGTGGAATTTAGCACATTTCTCCTCCTTAAGTAGTCCACCTTGTCGGTGGTGTGGATTGCGTAGACAAGACGCTTCCCTCGCGTATTGGCTCGGCCAATTGTAGCCTTTTTTCCTGTTGCTACGCCCAGCGCACGACCGTGGGCGAGCACAACATCGGGTTCCTGGGTCTTATATAGTATGGCTTTTCCGGCGACCGTGAGGCGGCCGCCGCTTGGGACTCACGTGTTTCGAGCAAAGCGTGCCCAAGCGCGTCCGTCGGGGAATTAGCGTTGCGGAGCCGGCCGCTCTGGTTGACAGGGACGGTTTGCCAGCCACCATCTGTGCCCTCGCCGACTTGAGTTTGGGAGGGATGGGACTGGGCGGTGGAGTCGTTACCTGCCGGGGGTTCCCGTCGGGCGCCAGAGGGGAGGGGGTTCCGCGCTGGCCCGTGTGCGGAAGTGCCGACGCATTTTCTTAGGTGTGGGGGAGGTCGCCGCCCTCGCCGCGGAGATCCTGGAACCCTCCCGGGACATGTCCGTCTGGGGTGGGGCCAGGGCCTACAACTACAGCTGGAGCAGCGACCTTCGGGTTTCGCCGACGGTTGCGGTTCCTGCCTCTGGAGGTGGTGGTCGCGGGGCCGGCGCCCGCTTCGGTGGACGGCGGTCGGCCGGTTCCTTTGCCGGCCCGCTGCTCCTTTGCCGGCGTGGGGCTGGAAGTAGCCTGGGCGGAAGGCCCGCCGCATTCCTTCCAGAAGCTCCACAGCTCCGCTTCGTGTGCCCGTGCCCTCCAAGGGGACCATTTTAGGTTCCTCCCATTCATTGCCGTTCATGATGTACGCTGCGGGGGTGGAGGAGAAGGAGCTCATTGTGTCTCCACACACCCTCTGCAGGCAGAGGGTGCAGAGTAGGGACTCGCCGTAGGGACTCGCCGTAGGGACTCGCCGTAGGGACTCGCCGTAGGGACTCGCCGTAGGGACTCGCCTGCAACTTCCACCGTGTTGTATTCGGCCGATGGCCGAGGCAGCAGCGGCGACGGTGGCGGCGGGCACTGGGTCGTCCGCTGGGCCGGCGCCGGTGAAGGGCAGCGGCAGAGGCGTAGGCGGTATCGGCGGCGGCTCCGATGTTTCCGCCTTGGCTTTGTTGCCTGAGGTACCTGAGTCATGTCCGCCCGCTAGTACAACAGCAGCGGCCATCCCTACACCACCTTAGTTGTAAAGCAATATTTCACAACGGGGTCGCGAACGCCCGAAAACAAGGAAATGAGGAGACTGACTCACATTGACAGAACCAGGGAGCTTTGGGGTTCGCAATGACGAACAAGGAAACGAAGAGACTGACTCACATCGACTGTGCATCAGGAAGATCCGAAGACCGTCCTTACTCATCTGCAGCCAAATTTTGAAATGTATAAAAATAGATCTTGCTGCGTCACCGCCGCACTCCCGATCCATTCCCCTTCTCCTTATGACACGCGCCCTCGGAGCACATAAATACAGGGGGAGCCCTACAAGTGCTCTCATATCTTAGTTGTAAGTTCTAACAACCAAATGTACTGAACTGTGAAATAAATTTACTTCTTGGGAAAAGTCAGTGTCTCAGTTACTTCGAAGATCCTGCCAGCCAAACTTACATAACTCCTGCACGTCCCCTTGCTCAGGCGGCCCGGCGGGGCATGGGGCGAAAGGCGCAGGCCCGGGTCTATGCGCGCTGGCGTTCGGGTCGGCCAGTGGAGCGGAGCGGCAGGGGCACACCCGCAACCTTCGACCGCTCGTCGCGAAGTCCCCACTGGGACAGTGATTCGCAAATAGAAAACGTGGAGAATGCTCACACCACGTTCACTGATCGGCTCTCTTACTCGGTGCCCTTCTCCGCTTTACACTTCCTGCTCCACGTCGACGTGTCTACTGCGTCTGTTCATTCACGAGCCACCTCATTCTTATAGATGGGAGCTGACTTGATTGCGAGGCTGAAGAATGCGCTCGATGTTCTTGGAAGCTGCCCTTCCCCCGACTAATCTGCAACTACTAGATGTCCCAAATATATTACGCCAAGTATCCATAGACAAAAATTAAAACATCATACGAGAATAAGGAAAACAAATAAGCAATAAGTGAATGATATCAATGTGGAATTTTTCTATCTTCACAATATGGCTTTTTCTTACCGGGAGTACTCAAGGCTGCCCCGCCGGCTTCAAATCCTTCTTTTTTAATTGATTTCATAGTTCGAAAAGATATTTCACAATAGTTTACTACCGGAAAATTGCTGTTATGCAGCGTGTGTTGAAGAACGCCCGAATTATTTTCTTTTTCACATTTCTTAATAACTAGACGTATAATTTCCCTAGCTTAACTGTGTATTTTTTGCCTTTACTAGGAATAGAAGCCATACCGTTTCACCAAAAGTCACCAATCAAATTAAAATCAATACGCTATACACTTGTGTTACGAACAAGAAGCAAAGAACATGTCACTCACTCATTGAGTTTATGTCTTCTCAGAACAAGAAACATTCTATATTAGATGAAGTGATATTGAACCTCACTCAATGTTCTCAAAGCAGATATACTATTCCGACTTCTCGCGTAGGCGGCAAATTGCAAAACACGCCAATATGCTGAATACATACACTGTAGGTCTTCGGCGAATTCTTTAGGTCAAACTCGTATGTACGACAGATGACAGTAATATTTAAATATGTGGTTTATTTCAGTTTTGAAAATATATTTATTTGTGCAATGCAATAAATTTCCCTCACTAGTCAAGAGAGATTATTGGCAAATTACCGTCTTGCTAAAGATGAGGCGTCAAAAATCGTTACACTAGTGTGAACACTTTTCAGGTTCTCAACATCAAAGGTAATTTGTTGAGACCGCAAAGTGCGAAAGTGGCTTTTAGATTGTACTATCTCAAGTACTAAAAACTTTGATTTATAGAGGAGTATACTGCACTGTAGTTACATGTACAAAATGAGTACAAAATGACCAATGAAGTGAGTGTTTGTAAAGATTTCTTTCAATAATATTTTAAATCCTC